CCCGGAACCCGCAGCGGGCGGGCTTTTTTTCGCGCGGGCCGTTACCGGGCTCACATGTTGGCGGGCCGACCCGGCCCGGACCACCCGGATTAACACCTCTACACAAGTGGTGATTTGTCTTGCGGTTCCGCTTGGTGTACAGGAGGTTGTTTTACAGGGGGTGATGTGGCAATAATTGCATAAAAAAAAAAAAAGAAAAAGAAACCAAACGAAAAGAATAAGGAAAACGACATTTTTCTTTCGGTTCTCCCCAAATTGGAAGCCCTTCAACCTCTCCATTCCCATCTCCACTTTCCTCTCTTCACGCCGGTTAGACTACACCTGCTCCAAAGTTCCGCCGTCGCGAAGGGACCACCACAACCTCTCCATTCCCATCTCCACTTTCCTCTTCACGTCGGTTAGAGTACACCGGCTCCGAAAATTGTCCAGCCCTGCTCCGAAGTTCCGCCCTCACGAAGGGACCGCCACAAATCTATCCTCTCCCGCCGGAGCCTGACAACAACTGACTTCTTCCACCGTGATGATATTCTGTGAAACGTTCTCACTATCGAACTCCGAAAAAAATTCATCACTGATATCTTCCATAAGTTCCTATGTTGCAACAAAATAAGCAGTAAACTATAATTTTAGTATCAGAATCCATATGTACAAAAGATTAATTTGAAAATGAGTTCCACAAGCAGAGCTGTTTTCTCAACTCAAGGATGTTTACAATTATGAAGAAAAACCTTCAAGAGTCGTACAGAGCTTCTTCAATGTATTCTACAGTTCATTGAATTAAGCTGGAATTGTGCATTTTTGTCAGTTTATGTAAAATTCATCAAGCCAAATATGGAAGAAGGCAATTATAGAGGAAAGCGTGATAAATTGAACGAATAAGGAGAAGATTTACTCCATTTCTCATTGAAACAAAAGTGAATACATTGCACTCATTTATAGACTAAAAACTGACAAACTATCAACAAATTAACAAACTGAGGAAGAAGCTAGAAGAATCTAGAATGAAAAGCTGAAGCATGCTGAACGTGAGCTCCTTGTCATGCTGGGAACGTGAGCTGCCGATAGTGCAGCTTGTGCAGCTTCTTCTTCTGATGAGTCAGCACTATGAGAATGTGTTGTATCGTGAGAGTTTAACTAGACATTTTAAACGTAGACATGTAATTTTCAGAAGCTTAATTCTATGAAGTGCACATTTTTTTTCCATCTCCAGCAAGATCATGCAAAGCAACAGGTAATACATAAAAATACATACAATATAGAAAGTGACAAAGTGTGTCTCACATGGGCAAACACCGTCAAGAAGACATAAAATGGCCAGTCCAAAGTGTTGCTCGGAACGGAGAGTGATGAGAGACTTGCTCGTCGCTTAAAATGGGTGTAATTTGCTTGGATCGCTTGGTGAAAGACCCGTGGAAGAGGCGGGATTCAGGGTTTACAGTGTGGTCGGAGGTGTGGCGCCGATTGGTTACCCGTCGATGGAGAGGATGGGAACAAAAATGGGTGTTGACGCCGGTTGGAAGATCTTGGTGAAAGAGGTGGAGTGAGTAATTTGGGGGAAATGTACACAATGAATAATTTGGCGGAAATGACTTACACGGTTCCCGCTTAAATATATTTCCTTTTTGTTTTTTTATTTTTCCTTTCTTGGTTGCCACCTCACCATTTTCAAATTTTCTGTAAAACACCTGTCAGCTACCTCTGTACACACAGCTTAAATCTTTGTCTCGCCCCTATGATAAGTACATCATGTGCACTTATTTGGACCATATTATTAAACTTTTATATTGTTAAAGTGTTGATTTCTATTTAACTTAGGTTTATATCCTTTTGATTTAGTTTTGGACCCGTTTCTATGGATTTGGAAAAGAATGTAAGGAAAAATGGAGGAAATCTAAAGTTCGAGGACCAAAGTGTAAATATTTCATAGTTGATTCGGACCACAAAATAATGATTGAAGATCACATATGATCAATTGGATGGAATTGGAAGTCAAAGGAGTGGATTATAGTCAAAGTATTTTACAAATTAATTTTCAAACGCACAAGTTACACTCCATATTTCTGCATCAGATTGAGACTCATTTTTTGCATAGCAAATGTTTCAATTGAAAAATTGATATTTCAAGAAGAATTGTAGTCCTTTGAATTAACTATCAAATGCACTTTTATTACCTCAATCTGATATTGAGAAAGTTATAGCAAAAAATAAGTGCAATTTCGAAATGATGGAATGCATTGGGCGACTGCCCAGATCTTTCTGTTGGGCGATCGCCCGCCCCCCAAAAACCATCAGCAAGGGCCAAATTTTTGGCCTGGGTGACCGCTTGGGCCATTGGCGAACATAATTTTTTCCTTTATCAGTTTTTCACTTCTACAAGGAAACCTCTTCTTAGGCTTTTATTTGGATGACTTTTGGGAGACTTTTTAGAGGAGTATAAATACAAATTATTCTCTAAATTAGGGTTGAAGAATTGATTGCTTGGAGAGGCGAAGAACAAAGGCAAACTCAAATGGAAGAATTTAGGGGTGATGAACTATTTTTTCTTAGCATATTAGGCTAAAATAATTTCCTATTAGGATTAAGATGAATCTTATACCATAAACTTTTGACTCTTGACTTTATTTCTTTTTTGATATTCAAAGCACGTTTTCAATTATTGAATGGTTTTCATGGATTTAATATTCTCTACAAGGATATGCGCAATAGTTGTATGAATATTATGATTTATTTGATTTTCAAAAAATTGAAAATAAGTTAGATATAGTATCAATTGTTGTAGAGTCCGATAGATGATAGAAATATAGCACTATATTCTACGTGATTTTTAAGTATTCATAAATCCTTAATGTATTCTTTTATGTTCGTATTCGTTATAGAAATATAGTTGAGTCACATGTAAGTACGTGTTTAATTCCATTAGAGAGAAATTGTTAAACAAATTAGGAATATTGATCTTCATAATAAAATCGTGTTATCAAATCCAAAAGTTCAAGGTTAAAGGGAACTGATATAAGGGGATTTGGAATTTTAGTGTGTTTTTCATCATCATATTCTTATTACAATTGCATTTAATTACATATTTGTATTGATTTTAGTTTAGTTAGGTCGTGCACTCATAAATATATTAGTTAGTGACAATTCAGTTTTTAAAAAACCACCAATTGTTATAATTTCAGTTAAGGCTAAATTAAACCGAACTTAAAGTAATACAATCTATATAGATACGATACTTGAAATTAAAATCCATTTTACTCATGCACTTGGGGTATTCATATTACTTAGCACGTTCACACTAACAAATTTGTTTCGGTGAGATATCACTGGTCAGCAGCTGATCCACTGCTTCTTGATCCAGTTCCAATTTCATCGGTAATTAGCTGAAGTGGTCTGCAAATGAAGGGCTTTATTTCAAATCCTTGTTATACAAAATGGACTGATCATTGTTGAATTCGGTTTTCCTCTTGGTCACACGTTCAGCTAATCCATTGCTGTTCGGTTTCTGGGATTGGCAAAGTTCTTCCCTGAATCATCTACTCCACAACTATCAGAACTCGAAAGATGGACGCCATCTTCAATGAAAAGAAAAGCTGTCAATGGAAACTGAGGAAGAAGGGGAAAATCTGAACAAGAAAAATAGAAGCAGCCAGGACACTCAAAATGGATTGCTAGTTGAGAATTCAATTTCCTCTCTCTGATACTGAAATTACACCTCTAAATCCTCATCACTACCATCTGTATACTCGATGCCATTGCTCACTTGTACAATTAAGTAGTTCGATTGGCTTTTTTCCATGCAATTAGAATCCCACATTGCTTGGGAAAATATAAATGATCCACTTAATAAGGTGAGGGCAATCCTCCCCTAATAAGCCAGTTTTATTAGGTGGAGTTAGGCTCAACATTCCTAACATGGTATCAGAGCTAGGCCCAATTATGCAATGTTGGGTGCTACCCAATATCGATTTGTTCACAGTTGTTTGGCATAGTCCACGCTGTGCGTGAGGGGGCGTATTAAAATCCCACATTATTTGGGAAAATATAAATGATCCACTTAATAAGGTGAGGGCAATCCTCCCCTAATAAGCCGGTAGTATTAATAACTGTTGGAAAATATATTATTTGGCAAATGAATTTTCACTTGTGTATGTGAAATTAATCCCACATTGATTGAAAGTTGGGATTTGAAGAGGAGCCTTAAAAGGGATTAACAATCCCACATTGGTTAGAAATGGAAAAGTGGAAATATATGGGGACTATAAATAGTACCATCCCACATTGGAAAAAGAAAAAAGAAAGTGGCAAGTGAGAAAACTTAAATAGTTATTCCACATAGGATAAGAATAAGTTTTTGGACCAATTTATATATGGTTAACAATTTGTAAGGT